GGGCTGGTTAGTGAAGAAACATGTAGTACCCTCAGTTCAGGTGTCGTAGTGCATAGAGCAACGATGGGATAATACCACTGTGGAATGGGTACCTGTCACAGCCTGCGTAAACGTAACGCATGTCACCATACCAAAGATGTGGTGGAACAAGCAGACCCACCAAGGTTGGGCCCCAATGCACTTTGTGCCTCCTGGGAATTTATGGGTCTATGGGATCAAAGGCTGGCCTTACTTACCAGTGAAGTGGACTGGATGTTGGACCTGGAGATGGTCTTATGTAGGTGCCACTGTTCTCTCCACACTGCCCAGATAACTGCATTACTGGGAGGCGCTACACTCAGTTTTTGTGAGTGCAACAAGCCTCCTGGTGGTTCTACTCCTTGACCGTGACTATCCCTGGAGCGGGCGTCATAGCTGTAGAAGCACAAGTTACTGCTCTTGCAGAGCATGCTTCTCGGGCTCTGCATTACACGTGCCCTCCTCCCATTAACAGATGAGGTTTATCAGATGAGAAAGATGGTGTTGCAAGACCAAATGGCCTTAAACATGCTGCACAAGGAGGCACCTTTGCCCTTTTAAGAACACAATATTGTACCTTTATTCCCGACAAGTGGCAGAACATAACGGCAGGCCTCCAAGAGGTCTGATGGGAGTCTAAGGGAGCTGAGAGCCTTACTGACAACCCCCTGCAGAGATGGTGGGCATCCTTGGGTTCTGGCCTATGCTGGGCCCTAACAGTCATAAGTAGTACAGCTAAGATCCTAGCAGTGAGCTGTTGCTTTCTATATTATTACTGTGGGTTATGGATTAAGGGCTCCACCCTATGGGCATGTATCCCTACCTGAAAGATTCCCCTCAGCCTAGGGGGTGAAATGTAAGGGAAATGACTGCGTTTTAGTCAGGATTAGGCTGAGGCAGCCTTCTGGTGCAGCATTGACTCAGTGGGTTTGGAGTGTAGGCGCACAACTCTGCACATTATGTAACCATGCCACATGAGGCACGTTAGGTGACCACTCACATGAGCCTGTGGTTGGCTCGGATCCACTATTGCCTGTAAAAGGTATAACTACCCTGCTGATGCTGTATGTATGGCTTGCACCCAAAGAGAGAATAAAGCCATGTTGAAACCTGAGTTTTTCCAGCTACTCATCACCAGCCCACCGACTTCCCTCTGACCTCAGTTTGGGCTAGAATCTGAGAAACAGTAATAAAGAATTCTTTTTTCTTGAGTTCAAACCATGAATAATCATTTACTCTGCATTGTAATTATAGGGTTGTCATTCAGAAGATAAATTCCAGGCAAGTGGCAGATATCTTCTAAGGAAAAACATTTTTAAGAATAATGCTCAAATAATTGTAGACATTGCTGGTGGACTCAGGAGCTATTATTTTATTGATCTTCATTTTGTTATTTTCTTTTCAAATGTTTTATTTATAGCATTATTATACAGAGATAGAGATATATTTTTTCTATCTTTAAAAATGTCTTTCCTTAGCAAGGAAAGTTTAAGAATAATTAAAAACTCCCATTTTGTAGATAGATAATGAAATGAGATAATGGTTAAGTGACTAGTATAAAGTCTAACCCAGAAGAAACTTCCAAAGCCTCCCTGTGAACTGTGTTGTTAGTTATTTATGAAAATTATGGTAGATAAAACATTCAAAATAAAACTGTGGGGCCACAGAACACCTTCTGATTATAAATACTTAAACTTTATCTGGGGTTATTTTGTATGCATGTTTTCATGCCAAGAGAAAAATTCCACAATCCTAATAGATGGAGTTGTTTTCCAACTAAACATATTTCAAGTAATGGACTTTACCCTCTTTCTGCTTTTTGATACAGAGCAACTACAGATACATATGTGTGTGGCTTCTGAAAAGATCATGAACCTTGCTTCCTGCAGATTGGGTATCCATGGATACTGAAAAGAGTTTCCAAAGAAACGCTGCTTAGAATTTTCACCATGCCAGCCTCAAAGGCCTTTGAATGGAAAGTGACATTTGAATTAAAGGGACAGGCATCATTGTTCCACACCAAAATACTGGGCAGGTTTGTAGAAATTGTCTTCCTTTCTGCACTATTCAATGTAAAGGCAGAGAGGTTGGATTATTTATCCTATAAAAGGGAGATGAACAGAAGACATCGGGTTGATATATTCCCTACCCAAGGATCAATGACCTATTTATATTTCTCACCTAATGATACATGTTCTTATAATCAAGGTCTCAAGATTTAGACATCAGACAGGGAAAAATGCACAGAGCAATACAAGCTGCATTTTTATATGCCCCAGTTTATATCCCTAAATGACAAAAAGTATTGGGAAGAGGGGCACAGCCTATTAGTTTACAAGGTTTACAAGCCTATGATTAGGTGTCTGAAGCAGGCTATATTGAAATTCAAAATGTGGCTCAAGAGAGTGAATCTGAATAAGGCAGCAATTTCATCTAGGGAGAGAATACATTACCAGTACATTTTCTTTTCTGGATCCTTATCACTAAATCAGCTGAAAAATCTGTTCTTAAAAGCAATCATAATGAAATTCTCTATTGTTCAACGAACCTGCCCTTCAGGGATATAGGAAATTAAGTCAGAATAAGAAAATTTTAAATCTCCAATAAACACTCCAAAGTTTTAGGTGTTTAATATTTATTTAGTTCATAAAAAGGCACTGCCCCCTCCAGTCTTCATCCATGAAACTTTCATGACTACCTCTCTGCTTTGTGGCTTCTTTTAGTGCCCAAGTTATATCACATTTCTCACTGAAGTTCAGACAATTGAAAACAGACTCACATCTGGGGAAATCAACAGACCAACAATGGCAAAATACACAATACCATGAAATGGATAAATGACGTTTGTTACAGGAGTGCAGCAATTTAGAGAATGTCTCAGGAGTGCGGCTCACTGGCAGCTGCAGCTATGGTAGCGTTTCTCTCTGCCTCAAGTTCAGAAACAAGCTGGACTATCTCAGGGTGACTAAATTTTCCTGTAAAACCAAAGAACAGAGAAAAATACATTCCCATATTGACAAGAGAACATATCCACTTCCCAAGCTTGATCCCAGGGCTCACTGGGGGCTCTAGTCTGTGATCTGACCCACATTTCATTCCAAAGCAGAACGAGATTCCAGGTCCTGGGAAGGGGCTGGAAAGGACCATTTGGCATTCATGCTCTGTCACTACAGGTGCAACTGAGATTAAGGATGAGACTCAGGCAAAGAATCATCAATTAGGCAGAGCTAAACTTCACCAGACTCCTGAGTGTCTGTACCAGGAACTACAGGAAAACTCGTGTGAGAGCCCAGAAATCTGAAGACAATCTCTGTCCATTCCAAACCTGCAATTAAGTAAGGAGAATGAAGCACTTATATATGAAAAGACAAGGAGGAAGCCCACAGGGGCTAGGCCAGCTCAGGATGTAAACAAGGATGCAGGTTTCTCTCTTGTAAACACCTCTACGCTTCGATTGGCTGATCTGTGCTGTCATCCCTGCTCCTCAGACCTCCCAAGATTTCTGCTCCGATAGCAGCCAAGCTCTAAGCTATCATAGGTCCATGATGGCTAGCATGGGGGACTGTTCAACCTAGCATCTCTTCCTTCACAGCCTTTTCTTGCCTGTGTCTTTTGTTGCTTACTGTTTATTCCACATTAAACTCTATTCCATTTATTTCCTATCCTCAACCTCTTATCTGAATATTCCCTTCCCTTTCTTTTTAGATGCTCCACATGAAAGGGTCAGAAGAGGGTACCAACAGTGGGTTTCCCTAATGTTAATGTTGGTCACTACACTGAATATGCCAAACTAAAATGGACTCTTGTTGAAAATGGTGTTGAGTACCTGCCGTGGAATCATAGAAGTCTTGTAGTCTTCCAGGTTTGTGTTCAAGATCTTCATACTCAGATGCCTGAAGAATCATCTCACATTGGTCTAGCTGCTTCACAAATTTGGCTTCTGCACTAGACTGGGTCTCATACTCCTAAGTAAAGGGACAATTAAGGCAGCATGATTAGTGCTGTGTAATAGGGTATCCTGGGAAAATTCTGACTCTGGTACCCAAAATCAGTGTGACAGCTACAAGTATATTCTCTACTGTTTACAAATCCTTCAGAGACACTTCTTCTGTAATTTCACAACCTAACACCAGGACTCCATACAAAAAAGATGTGCTCACCAGTCTAAGTATTCTACCAGATGCCGTGGAAGTCTCATATGCTCATCTTAGGTACTTCCAAGATGTTTTCTTCCTGTTCAATACCCCAACTTCATTTTAAGATCATTATTCTTTAATTTACCTAAGTAGCTTAGATATTTTTAACCTCAAGCTGATATTTCATCTTATGCCTCTAAAATTTGTATTTCCCTCTCCACTTCATGTCAGGTTTTCCTTTCATTTGTAAGTGAATTTCTAGCTTTATCATTTACTTTTGGTTACTACTTTGCCTGGGAATCTCTGTGCTTACTTTCTAAATAGGGTAGATTTAATTAAGTCCCTCTGAGTTAACACTATTGAGGATACAGCCAAGATCTGAGGATTTTACATGCACTGCTATGTGCATGTGTTGCAGGTGGGAGGTGGTGGCAGTGGCGGGGGGGTGAGCAGCTTTTCTACCTTTTCCTTCCCATGAGCCCCTCCCTCTGCAATACAGACTTTGAACAAGAATCTCCAGGAGGTCTGCTTCTTACAGAATGATGCATGCCACACAACCACAAGTCCCAATTAATAATATATAGATTCATTCTTCTATTAAAACTAAAGTGCTCCCAACTGGTTTCCCTGCCAAGTTTTTGTTTGTAATTCTATCCCAGATGTGTTCACATAATAAACCTGTCATGGTTTCTTGGCAGGGTGATGTGACATGAATCACTTAAAGGTTTCTTAGTTTTTATTACATGCTTATTCTTATAAAGGCAGCTACTTGGATTTGATAAAGCTGAGAACTGTACAGAGGAATCATTTCAATATGGAACCAAAAACATTTTGCTTTATCTCAAAGGCACTGAAAAATAATTTCACTTTATTTGTTTATTCACATTCAGTTATATATTTATGTTTAATAAATTCAAGTTCATGATTTAATAAAAGGAAATGAAATACTCCAAGCATAGCAGTCTAGAATTTTTTTTTTCTGTTAAAAACTGAAAGTGAGAAAAATATTTAAAGACCATTAGGAAATACATCTTAAAACAAATTCTCATGAACTTACACATTTCTTTCTTTTTTTTTTTGAAGGGAGGAAGGCGGGAAGGGAGGAAAGGAGGAAGGGAGGGAGGGAGAGAAGGGAAGGAAGGAAATCAGGCAATGAGAGAGACATTGCTGACCTGGATCTAGAGGTCTACAAGTTGATTTCTTTTTTTCTTTTTTGAGAGAAGGAAAGAAAAAAAAGGAGTCAAGGAGAGGAAGAAAGAGAAAGAAAAAGAGGGAGAGAGAATGGAAATGTTGCTTTATTCTAAAAAAAATGGGTATTAATAATGGCCAATAAATATTTCATTTAAACCTGTGAGTAGGTATGATGTGGTATTGACAAGAATGTATATTTTGTGTATTTAAAGTGGAGAGCTCTATAAATATTTATTAAGTTTACTTGCTCCGGATCTGAGTTCGAGTCCTTGATATCCTTATTAATTTTCTGTCTCATTGAGTCTAAGTCTCTATGTATCTGGGTGTTAGGATCGTTAGCTCTTATTGTTGCATTGATCCTTTTACCACTATATCTTTGTTGCTTTAAAATCTATTTTATCAGATACGAGAATCGCAACTCCTGCTTTTTATTTATTTATTTATTTTTGCTCTCCATTTGGTTGGTAAATCTTTCTCCATCCCTTTCTTTTGAGTCTTTGTGTATCCTCGCATGTGAAATGGATCTGGATGTAGCATACCGTTGGGTTTTGGCTATATCTTTTGATTGGGGGATTTAGTCGATTTAAATTTAGGGTTACTGCCATTTGATGTTAACTGGCTGTTTTATCCATTCGTTGATGTAAATTCTTCTTTATGTTGATGCTCTTTACTTTTTGGTATATTTTTAGAAAGGCTAATACTGGTCGTTTCTTTCTATGTGTAATGCTTCTTTCAGAAGCTCTTGTAAAGCAGGACTGATGGTAATAAAATCTCTGAGTACTTGCTTGTTCATAAAAGATTTTATTTTTCCTTCAGTTGTGAAGCTTAGTTTGGCTGAATATGAAATTCTGGGCTGAAAGTTCTGTTCTTTAAGGATGTTGAATATTGGCCCCCGCTCTCTTCAGGCTTGTAGAGTTTCTGCTGAGAGATCTGCTGTAAGTCTGATAGGATTCCCTTTGTGGGTAACCTGACCTTTCTCTCTGGCTGCCCTTAGTATATTCTCCTTCGTTTCAACCCTGCTGAATCTAACAATTATGTGCCTTGGGGTTGCTCTTCTTGAGGAATATCCTTGTGGTGTTCTCTGTATTACCTGGGGTTGAATATTGTCCTGCTTTGCTAGTTTAGGAAAATTTTCCTGAATAATATCCTGAAGAATATTTTCCAGCTTGGATTCATTCTCTCCGTTGCATTCAGGTATAACTATCAAACAGAAATTTGGTCTTTTCACATAGTCCCACATTTCTTGGAGACTTTGCTCATTCCTTTTTATCCTTTTTTCTCTAATGTTGTCTTCTCGTTTTATTTCGTTAAGCTGTACTTCAACCTCTGATATCCTTTCTTCTGCTTGATCAATTCAAGTGCTTAAACCTGTGCATACATCCCAGAGTTCCCGTATTATATTCTTCAGTTCCATTAACTCACTTACATTCCTCTCTAAGTTGTCTATTCTCATTAGGATTTCGTCAAACCTTTTTTCAAAGCTCTTAGTTTCTTTACATTGGGCTACAACATGTTCTTTTAGCTCACAGAAGTGTCTTATTATCCATCTTCTGAAGCCTGATTCTGTTAATGGGATGCGCTTGTTTCCATCAAGCCTTGTTCCCTTGTTGATGAGGAACTGTGATCCTCTTTAGAGGGAGAGGCATTCTGATTTTGAGTATTCTCAACCTTTTTATGATGGTTTCTTCCCATTTTTGTAAATTTATCCACCTGTCATCTTTGTAATTACCAACTTTCAAATTAGGTCACTCAGTGAACGTCCAAGTTGTTAATTCCCAGGGCCAAAATATGAGCAACCCACTGCGCCGGCCAAAACAGCAGTGTTAAGACTGATGGTGCTTTTTCTGCCCAGGAATCTCCAGTCTGGCTTCCTTCTTGAGTCCATAATAGGCGACTCTGCCTTCCCGGAGCTCCAAACCTCAGTCAGAAGGGGAACCAGTCCCGTTTACTCTGCACCAAGAGCTGCTGCACCGAGGTGCCAGCAAACCACTGCGCTGGCCACAAGAGTCGCACTGGCGACCCGTGCAGCTCCTCCACTGGGAATCTTTTGCTCTGTGAGCAACCAAAATTTGTCTGAAAGTGTGGCGTCCTCTCGTTCTCTGTGCTTCACTGGGAGCTGCAATCCCGAGATGTAGCCATCAACCATCTTGGATCGTTCTCCTACACATTTCTTTTAAAAGAAATATAAATTATTAAAATTTTGCCTCAAAAAATACTGATATAGGCATTCTCCAATAAAAAGGCAGAGCATAAAAAATAATACTACAGACAGAACTCTAAGAGTGAGAAGAATCCATGGCATTTGGAGAAATTATTGCAAGTAGTTTTTAATGTCAGGAAGAGTCAGGTTCAGATTTGCATTTTTTTTTTTTTTTAAACAGTCTTGTTCTATCACCCAGGCTGGAGTGCAGTGGTACAATCTTGGCTCACTGCAACCTCCGCCTCCTGGGTTCAAGTGATTCTCCTGCCTCAGCCTCCCAGGTAGCTGGGACTACAAGCGCTTCTACCACACCCAGCTAATTTTTTTGTATTTTGAGTAAAGATGGAGTTTCACCATGTTAGCCAGGATGGTCTAGATCTTCCGACCTCACGATCCGCCCACCTCAGCCTCCCAAAGTGTTGTGATTACAGGCATGAGCTATTGCACCTGGCCACCAGATTTGCATTTTAGAAAGGTCATTCTAGCTACACATGGATAATATCTAGATTGGACGCAGAGAAATAGACTTTGTAGCATTAGCAGAGAAGTTATAGGAATCTGATCTAAGATAGTAGCTGTGAAGATGGAGAGAAGTGGTAGGATTTAAGAAATATTAAGGATATGTAATTCCAGCACTGTGGGAGGCCGAGGCAGGTGGATCACGAGGTCAAGAGATCGAGACCATCCTGGTCAACATGGTGATACCCTGTCTCTACTAAAAAGACAAAAAATTAGCTGGGCATGGTGGCGCATGCCTGTGATCCAAGCTACTCAGGAGGCTGAGGCAGGAGAATTGCCTGAACCCAGGAGGCGGAGGTTGCAGTGAGCCGAGATTGTGCCATTGCACTCCAGCCTGGGTAACAAGAGCAAAACTCCATCTCAAAAAAAAAAAAAAAATATTAAGGATAAAGAAGTGAACTAAAATATAACAGTAAATGAGAAAAAAACCTGAAAATGGCTGCCTGGTTTCTGGTTTGAGTAACTAGGTCCATCTTAAAATAGTAAGCAAAAGAGAAGAAACAGATAAAAACTGACACAGCAAAGAAACAGTAAAACCCAAACCTCATGGATAACATATACATCAAATCTAAGGGATATGACATTCCCATCAAGTCCAGATATATGCAAGTAGAGACAAACTACCTCTAAGTCCTGCATGCAATCAGCATCTGTCTGGGAGCAACAGGATGAATGTCTGATGGACCTGAGAATAAGAGAATCTCAAAAGAGCCAACAGGTATTCTCTAGAAAACTCACATTTTAAGAACAGTAGTTGACACTGGGAAGGATCTTGCCCACTTCAATAGTGGATAAGCACAAGGAGCTTAAGCCCAGCCCTAGTGAATTTTCCAATCTAACCTGCTGGGGCTCCTTTCCAGGAAAGGGCCCATATGAGGAGAAAGTACTGGGAAGAAAATTAAAATTGAGTGGGATACATATAACACAGATTAAGAAAAAACCCATATAAAAATGAAGAGGGGAAACAAAATCAGGAGGACATCTCTTAAAGAAAGCCAACATATTTTTTTTAATGCTACATTAGAAAAAACACATACAATAACAACAAAAGCAGAAGCTTTGTGAAGTTAAAAAAGCAACTTGTGAGGGGGGCACCAAGATGGCTGGGAGAAGCCAGCACTGGAATGCAGCTCCCAGCAAATGAGATACCGAGGGCTAGAGGACATCACGATTCCAAACCGAAGGAGGTTCCGGCTTCCTTTCTGTGGGATTGATAGCGCACTGATATCAGGCCCAGGGAAGCAAATCAAGACGGGGGTCAGGGTGGGGGGGTGGTCATGTCCCCACCTGAAACGTGCAGCTGGCTCGGAGCATCGGGGAACTTAACCCCCTCCATGCTCCGTTTCGGATCCTGTGCTTACCTCATGCCTCCTGCAACCCACCTCCATGAGAGCCCTGCCAGACGGTGGGGCATCGATGCAAATCTGAGCAGCAGTTACTGGTCGCGGCAAGTTGTTGCAGGGTCCTGGGCGGGAGTTTGGACAAACGCCAGGGAGATGCACCCTCCCACAGAGGGAGGCAGAGTTGAAAGCAGGGAAACAGACCATAAGGCCTGGCAGGTCTCACCTCCACAGAACTCAAACTGAAGCCCTTGCTAGAGAGCTTGACTGCAAATACACCAGCTTGACCCAACCAGGAAGTATCAAGCTCTGGGAGAGACGCCATTGGGAAGGTGGGACCAATCTCACCTGCAAACAAATTCCAGGAAGGACCACCCACCCAGCAACCTCACTGAGAGAGCCCAGCAACGCCCTCTACAGGCCAAAAAAGATACAGCTCCAACCTCAACAGAAAAAAAACACAGACTCTTCCTGAAATCACCAACTTCAAATATTAAAGGGAGATAAAACCACAAAGATGGGGAAAAAACAGTGCAAAAAGGATGAAACCATCAAAGAACAGAACACCTCTTCTCCTCCCAGGGATCACAACTCCTCACCATCAAGGGAACAAAAAAAGACAGAGAATGAATCTGACGAATTGACATAAGCTTCAGAAGGTGGGTAATAACAAACTTCTCTGAGTTGAAAGACCATGTTCTAACCCAATGCAAAGAAACTAAGAACGCTGAGAAAAGGTTAGACAAAATGCTTACTAGAATAATCTTTGAATAGAATAGCTTAGAGAAGAACATAAACGACTTGATGGAGCTGAAAAACACAGCACGAGAACTTCGCAAGGCATACACAAGTTTCAACAGCCGAATGGATCAAGCAGAAGAAAGGATATCAGAGATAGAAGATCAAATCAATGAAATAAAACAAGAAGGCAAGATTCAAGAAAAAAGAGTGAAAAAAAATGAACAAAGCCTACAAGAAATATGGGATTATGTGAAAAAACCTAATCTACGCTTGATCAGTGTACCTGAAGGTGATGGGGAGAATGAATCCAAGTTGGAAAACACTCTTCAAGATATTATCCAAGAGAACTTTCCCAACCTAACAAGGCAAGCCAACATTCAAATCCAGGAAATACAGAGAACACCACAAAGATATTCCTCAAGAAGAGCAACCCCAAGGCACACAGTAGTCAGATTCACCAGGGTTGAAATGAAGGAAAGAATCCTAAGGGCAGCCAGAGAGAAAGGTCAAGTCACCCACAAAGGAAAGACCATCAGACTCACAGCAAATCTCTCAGCAGAAACCCTGCAAACTAGAAGGGAGTGGGGGCCAATATTCAACATCCTTAAAGAAAAGAAGTTTCAACTCACAATTTCATATCCAGCCAAACTAAGCTTCATAAGTGAAGGAGAAATAAAATCCTTTACAGACAAGCAATTGCTGAGAGATTTCATCGCTACAAGACCTGCCTTACAGGAGCTACTGAAGGAAGTACTCAACAAGGAAAGGAACAACCAGTACCAGCCACTGCAAAAACATAACAAATGGTAAAGAATAACAATGCAATGAAGGAGCCATATTAATTAATGGGCAAAACAACCAGCCAGTAACAAAATGGCAGGATGAAATTCAAACATAACAATATTGACGTTGAATGTAAATGGCCTAAACACCGCAATCAAAAGACACAGACTGGCAAACTGGATAAAAAGTCAAGACCTATCAGTGTACTGTATTCAGGTGACTAATCTCACATGCAAAGACTCACATAGACTCAAAATAAAGAGATGGAAGAAGGTTTATCAAGCAAATGGAGAGCAAAAAAAACCAGGTGTAGCAATCCTAGTCACTAATAAAACAGACTTTAAGCCAACAAAGATCAAAAGAGACAAAGAAGGGCATTATATAATGGTAAAAGGATCAATGCAATAAGAAGAGCTAACTATCGCAAATATTTATGCACCCAATGCAGTAGCACCCTAATACATAAAGCAAGTTCTTAAAGACCTACAAAGAGACTTAGACTCCCACACAATAATAGTTGGAAACTTTAACACTCCACTGACAATATTGGACAGATCAACAAGACAGCAAGTCAACAAGGAAATCCAGGACTTGAATGCAGATTTGGACCAAGTGGACCTAACAGACATTTACAGGAAACTCCACCCCAAATCCAAAGAATACACGTTTTTCTTAGCACCACATTGCACTTACTCTAAAATTGACCACATAATTGGAAGTAAATCACTCCTCAACAAATGCAAAAGAACAAAAATCATAACAAACAGTCTCTCAAACTACAGTGAAACCAAATTAGAACTCAAGATTAAGAAAAGCACTCAAAACCATACAATCACATGGAAACTGAACAACTTGCTCCTGAATGATGAAAGGATAAACAATGAAACAATGGCAGAAATAAAAATGTTCTTTGAAACCAATGAGAATGAAGATAAAATGTACCAGATCATATGGGACACATTTAAAACCGTGTCTAGAGGGAAATTTATAGCAATAAATGCCCACATGAGAAACAAGGAAAGATCTAAAATCGACACCCTATCAACAAAATTGAAAGAGCTAGAGGAGCAATATCAAAAAAAACCTCAAAAGCTACCAGAAGACAAGAAATAACTAAGATCAGAGCAGAACTGAAGGAGATAGAGACACAAAAAACCCTTCAAAAAATCAATAAATCTAGGAGCTGGTTTTTTGAAAAGATCAATGAAATAGACCACTAGCTAGACTAATAAAAAAGAAAAGAGAGAAGAATTGATACAATAAAAAATGATAAAGGGGATATCATCACCGATTCCTCGGAAACACAAACTACCATCAGAGATTACTACAGACAACTCTATGCACATAAACCAGTAAATCCGGATGAAATGGATAAATTCCTGGACACTTGCACACTCCCAAGACTAAGCCAAGAAGAAGTTGAAACCCTGAGAAGACCAATAACAAGGTCTGAAGTTGAGGCAGCAATTAATAGCCTACTGACCAAAAGAAGTCCAGGTCCAGACAGGTTCACAGCTGAATTCTCCCAGACATAAAAAGAGGAACTGGTACCATTCCTGTTGAAACTATTCCAAACAATACAAAAAG